TTTAGATAACGAAGAGAGATTTATTGCTATACATGAGTGACTTTCAGTGGGTTAATCATGAAACATCTGGATGATTTTGTCCTCATTTGAGTTGAAAAAATAAATAAATTGTGGTTCCAACTTGAATTTCCGGAGTCCCAGTTAAGTCTCAGTTTTCTGCACCCCATTCTGAGATGAAACCTAGTTAATATGAATAGAGAAGAGCCTTTGGCCCTCTTGTACCACTTTATCTTTTCTTTCTTTTCATTCATCTTGATCATCTTCATCTCATCATCTAAACTGATCCACTATTTGTGTCTCAGGTTGGTTGTCTTGGATCTTTGCTCATGTTTCTCTTATCACTAATATCTTTGGCTCAAAAGTGTGATTGTCTTTGGTCTTTGTTCATGTGCTCCTTGTTTTTTTTTTTTTTTTTTTTTTTTTTTTTTTTTTTTTTTTTTTTTTTTTTCACTTATCTCTCACCCAAATATTTTTGCCTCTGCCAAGAATTCAGGGAGACAATGTGGCACATCCACTGGTTCATACTTTCATCTAGAAAAGAAGCCCAACAACCCTGTTTTGCAGTAAGCTATTTTGCAGATCTAAAATATTAAAGGTTTGAATGATCCAAGAATACTTTGACTGGCTTCTTAGTTCCCATGACCCAAGACTACCATTTTTCAAAAGCCAGAGACACTAGCAAACATCTCGAGATTAAAAATGGGCACTGGAGATCTGACCATTTTCTTAAGAAAACAAATTACAGGGTGGGGCAACACTTTCTAATCTGGTTGACTGAGGGCCACTGCAATAGCGTATCCAGAGCTATCAACATCAATAATTTGAGGAAGATTAAAATCAAAGTGGTGTAAAACGTTAATCTCAGAATGTTCTTTCCCCCGTCGTTCGCAGCAATTTTGGTGGTGTGCACCCACTGATCAACGATTCAAAATGGTTTGGTGGTCCATACAAACCTGTACTAAGAGTCTTCTCATTGGAGGGCTAAAAACATCCGCGCGAAAACTCCGCATGCAGGGTTGTTGGACTGACTGTTGACATTATTTCTGGGAGTTTGAATGCTGCAACATGTGTTAGGAGCTGTGCGGTGACACTGTCGGTGTCCCGTTGGTCGCGGTCAGCTCACGGCGCTGTCCCGATGGCGGTCCCTAACTCGGTGAGGTAAATTGCTTGTACTAACCTGTCGGTGTCCCGTTGGTCGCGGTCAGCTCACGGCGCTGTCCCGATGGCGGTCCCTAACTCGGTGAGGAAAGGAAACCGGCACCGGGCGGAACAACAGACAGACTATATACAACATGATGCGGCGCAGCAGCGTATAAACCCTAATGATCCACCTATCACAACCGAGTATCACAGATAACCTCTAACAATTTCCGGTGAACAATTTGAAAATGAGTTGTGTAAAACTTTACCCATTCAACACCCTCTCGCTACACTACTCCAGTACACAGCAACTCAAAGCCGTGTGACTGCTCTGTTTGTAGGAGGGTCGGTATGTATAAATAAATGTTTTATCTACACCGTGTCCCTTGCTGTGCCCGCCGTGTACTTGGTTTTCAAATTCTGCATTTCTTCCTCTGACCGTCGCTTCCAGGCGTGGCTGCTGTTACTGTTGAAAGCTCGTAAGCGGTGTGGTGGCCTTTACAATTCTGGCGGAGAAACGCGGTATAGTTCCAGAGGGGACGCACGATGATTACTATGAGCCGTAAGCAGACCCCTCTCTCGCATGGCTTTCTTCACCGCCAAAAACACACGAAATGTGAGTGGGCAAATAACCTCTAATGATTACGCAGTCGTCGTGGTGTCTTTGCAGTATTCGATCATCCTCGGCTTGGCCGGTATATCGTACTACTATCTGGTTGCAGGCTATCTCAGAAACAAGTACCAACTCAACGGCTATCCCGGCCCCTTCCTCGCCAAGTTTTCTAGACTCTGGCTCGGCTATGCCACCCGCTTTGGAAAGCGTTACCAGATCATCCACGAGCTTCATCAGAAACATGGTGCCTCCCCTCCTTTCCTTCCCTTGCGTCCATGTCGTTAGTACATGGATTTTTATGTCTTTCTTTTGTTTGCTTTCCTGAAAGGTCGATTCGTCAGAATCGCACCAAACGAATTGAGCATCGCTGACCCCGACGCTATCCCTATCGTCCTGGGCCATGGAACTGGCACGCTCAAAAGCAAATTTTGTAAGCCCTTTTTTGCCCATGAGAAAAAAAGATATATCATTGATTGAGCACTACCTCGGCGACAACTGACAACATTTCTACCCACCCTTGACCGGCTCTCCAGACGATGCTTTCGTGGCTAACCAGAGAGGGTTGTTTGTTAGCATTTTTTTCTTCTTTCTGAACCGGATGTGATGAAAAATTGGTAACCTCATTATTTCGGTGGACGGTGCCAATAAATAGAACACGCGAGACAGAGCAGACCACACCCGGAAACGGAAAATCATTTCGAACACGTTCAGCCAAAAGAGCATCCTCGAATTCGAGGCCTACATCGCCGATACCATGGCGTGTTTCCTCAGGAAAATGGATCAGCTGGCTTCCGATCCTAATCCTATTCAGGACCCTCCAACTGCTCATATTCCATCGTCGTCTTCGAGCAAAGAAGATGGGTGGAAGATTCTGGATATATTACCTTGTTTTAATTACTTGGCTTTTGATATTATAGGTATTGTTTTTGTGGCAGAAATAACCAAAGATAAAGCGCGAGTGCTAATCTGGATTAAATTTCGACACGGAAATAAATCACAAAGGCGATCTTGCATTTGGAGAAAGGCTTGGAATGATAGAACGCGGGGCGGACATTGCTGCAGTTCAGAAGGAAGGCAAGATCTTGTATTTGCCTGCCATTCAGATTCTCAATCACCGGGGGGAGTTCAGTGCCACCCAAGGAAGCTTGCCGGCTGGCCTGCGGCCATACATGAAGTACATCGATCCTTGGTTTTCGCGTGGTGACACTAGCGTGAAGAATCTGACTGGAGTATGTTTATATATTCCTTCCCATTTATAATACATTCTGCATGCCACACTCATTATCCACCTATATCGATCGGTCTTGGACTTAGATTGCCGTCAATCAAGTCAACATACGACTCTCTCAGACCGGCCACTCGAGGAAAGATTTGTTGGCCCATTTACAGACCGGTCGAGATGCAGATGGGAATCCCATGAGCAAAGATGAATTGATAGTTGAGTTTTTAAGCATGTTTCTCGTGCCCGCCCTTCCCCGTGTTCTCAGTGATTACGAGATCGTCTGGATGGGAAGCATTCTCTTTTGGGAACTCCTCAAGCTCACTCTTGCGTGCGCCGTTTCAGGCTGAGGCTTTGACGCAGTTAATCGCTGGAAGTGACACGACGTAAATAATCAACATTCAAAAATAATCGATCAAATACCCTTTTTTTCCTTTAACTGACCTCCGGCATTTCCCTATACGACAATGGTGGACAAGACAGATCGAATACGAGCTGCATGATTTTGTGGTGGATCGTGAAGCATCCGTCGGTGTACGAGAAGCTGATGTCGGAGCTGGAAGAACATGTGGGAGCGGAGGAGGGCGTGATCAGCTATGCGGACTGCAAGGATCTCAAATATCTGAACGCCTGTATCAACGAGACCTTGCGGATTCACTCCACCTCCTCCATCGGCCTGCCCAGAATCCTGCCCGAAACCGTTTCCTTCAAAGGCCATCTCTTGCTCAAAGGCTTGGTCTGCTCCGTTCCCACTTTCGACATCCATCATGATCCCGAGGTCTGGGGTGATCCGTAAGATTTCATTCCATTTATCCGCTTTTATAGTACTCCTTCTCCTGTATCTTAATGACATTTTGTTTACACCCTATTTACTATCTTGATTCATTATTGCTTGTTGTGCCAATTGAAAGCTTTACATTTCGGCCTGAGAGGTGGTTGGAGCCGAACTCGAAAGAGTATGAGAAAGCCTTCATGCCGTTCAGGTATTCTATCCACCAATTCCTTCATTTTCCTTCTCATTTCGTAAATCTGACTCATCCATTGTATATGCTATACACATCTTCTCCCAACCGACCAACAGTTTTGGCCCTCGGTCTTGTATTGGACGCAATTTAGCCATGATGGAGCTATGCGTAAGCGTCGGATCCCTCTTCTAATCCAAAGAAAGACGTGTTGATGAAGCTTTTTTTGTTTGACTTATTTTTTTGGGCGGCGAGGGAGAGAACAGATGATTACGTCGACGATTTTGAAGCGATACGAGTTCGTATTAGTGGACCCTACGCAAGCTGAATTAGAGACTCGGGAAGGCTTTTTACGAAAGGTTCGGCTGGCTCTTCCCGTTGCATGAATCACTCTTGTTTTATGGCATGAATAAACCTTCCGGATGTTGATGATGTATTCCCTTTGGTCATTGTTGCATGGACTTAAACACAAAATAGCCGCTCAATTGCTGGGTCAAGTTCAAACTCCGCCCTCACTGATGTCAGGCGTCGATCGGCACCGAGGGCCATCGATATGTGTGGCTGGTTCAGACACAGCTTATCTGTCCGGGACTTGCTCTCAGCGCACACATCGTCTCTATTTCTACTCCGTCTTTCTCCTCCGTCTGTGCCCTTCCACACGTCCCCATCTCAGTCAAAACTCCAAACACGGAACACCTCTCGTTCACGAAACAACATGTATAAGCAGTCACTGAAACAAACAAAAATCCTCATGACCCCACGTGGCATATATTCGTTTTATCTTGGTCTTCTCTCTATCTGTGCTTGTTTGTCTGGAGCTCCAAATACTCTATGTCACTTTATGTTGTTTCTCTCTCTCGCTCTCGCGTCTGTTGTTTTTCCGTAATTTTCATCTTCGCATAAAGCTCGCTGCTTCTTTATACACCATATAGAAAAGAACCCTTCCAGCCTTTCGTCATGTTTTGGGATGACAGCTTGTCGAATGGATGTCCATGACCAGTTGAGAGACGGTCTTCGCTTCTTTTCTTTTGGGTCCATATCATTTACTAATTGGCTCCAACCGTATCCTGTCATCGTCTAGTGGTTAGGACACCAGGTTCTGATTGGAGGGCGCGAAGTTCCCCAAGCTGGATTCTCCTGGTAACCCCGGTTCAAACCCGGGTGACAGGTATATTTTGCTTTAACCCTGAACGATCCACAAGAACTCTCCTTAGTTGTTTTTTATGAAGGTGTTCTGTTGATGATGCTACTTGTTCTAGCTTTCCTTGGATGCATGGATGAGTTATATATCAAAAAATCAAAACATTTTTTTTTTCATGTAAATACTATGGGGGCTGGATCATGTGGGGGGTTTACAAAGAGGTTTGATGGCAAATTCTCATGGAAATCATTGGTTGGAAATGATAGAAAGAACTGATGGCCAAATCTCACTTGATCATGTGTCATGAGAATGTACATCATCATTGGGCTCATACTTTCCCAGTTTGGCTTGTTGGATCAACAATGTAGCACCATCATTGGGGTTCTGGGGGTGTTTCTTACAGCTTGCTGGAGATTTCTGAAGTTATGCTGAAGTTATAGATATTGAAAAAAAAATTGAGGGAGATTGCGGTTGTGAAACCAAATATTTGAAGTATGTGTTATACTCCAGCAATCACTTGAACCATACACTCAAGAGAAATTCTTCAGTTTCTTGATACAGATAAAGGAGCCATTATTATTCCTGTCTTTATGGTATTTAAGTGTTGAAAAATTAATCCCGGACCTTCAATGCATGTGTCTGAATCTCCCCTGATGGGTTTTTCCCTCTACTCTTCCATGGGGCTGCATATTGGCCATCAGGTGGGTTCAGTCTATGTGTATCTTCCACACATACTATTGCTTAAGCTGTGTGGTCTTTTTCATCACATGAGAGGAAAACAAAAAGTCTGTTTAACTTGTTCTTTTCTTTTCTTTTTGATGATGACAGGTGAAATCCCCTGCTTGAAATGCCTTACTTAAGCCACCAATTAAGATGTTTTGTATTTTTTATGTTCATGGGATGCCCTAGACAGTTTAAGGCATGTGGCTTTTTTCTTTTCAGTGGGACACCATGATGAATATATAAATCTCTCCATTACCCCCAGCTGTTGCCAAGAAATGCACCTGTGTCTGTTCACCCCACCCAGAAACAATCCCACTCTTTGTGGGCTTGGGCCATCTGATAATACATATCTCTACTCAATTAATTACTCCTCTGCCAATGTGCTCAACACTTAAACAAAATCATAAATACAATACTGTTTTTTCCACAAGTGTGTTCTTTGTATCTGCAACTTGCATGCACACCTATAACACCCAGCCTTTTTCTCTCTTCTATTCCAAACTCATCCTTTCTGTCAGCCTCCTTGATGCCAAGGGCCAAGATTCATTTAGCTAAAAGGGCTTCAAATAAGATTAGATGGATAGATAGGTTTTTGGAATTGAGAGGGAAAGTCCAAAGAATGTGCGGGGGCTAATGAAAAATAATAAAATAAATGCAAAAAAAGGGTAAATAAGGAGGGGCCTGCAAGTAGGGATGTTCCAGATACCCTCAAAATCCAAAGACCTAGTTAAAAGGGTTTATTTTTATTTTATTTTTTGGGGGGGAAGGTGAACCAGAAGTGGTATTCCAGAAAAGGGCCAGATTGTGTGAAAAGGATTTATTGTTGGTTTGGTGGCAAGATGAAAGGCTTCTGTGTGAGCTGGTAACACCTAAAATACTGGACACTAATATTGGGCTTGGTGGAAAGCACTGAGTAAGGAATACTTAACTAGTAACAAAATCTGAGGGAAAGATCTCTTGGGAGATGAAGTGAAGCCTTTTTATGCCTGTTGTAGGGCCTAGGAGATGTTTTAAAAAGGCCTGATGTGTGCTGGTATCTTCCATTGGGGTCTCTTGTCATCCCTTTTTTTATGTGTGGACATTTCCATGTGATATTTTGTTGTATTTTGGGTTATTGTCCATCTTTGTATTTATTTGTAATTCTTTTCTAGCGCTCAAACAAACCTACTTGAGCTACCAACTCAAAATGAGGTCTTTTCTTTCAAAAAAACATTATATGAAATTTAGCCTAATATAATTCTATTTTTTGGATGCATATTTTGTGTTATTATTCTTGTTTATGGTATATCAAAAATTGGTACATAAAATCATCATCACTTTTCACATAAAATGTTTCACAGAGAATTTGTCACACATAAAACCATCTTGACAATCCTCTGCCATCGCTCACGAGTACTAGTAATAAACATACCACTACAAAACCTGGCCGAAAATATACACAGTTGTTGCATTGGAAAACATGTTATATGTACAAAGTATGGGGAAAAATTACTCTATCATTTGTTGGTCTCTAAATACATCCCTCTCCTAATTTCATTATTACCATCTCAACTTGAAAACAAACCAGAACATAAATCTAATAGCCCTAAAGAAGCTGCCCAAAAAAATATCTCTAAACTAAAAGGGAAAGGATGAATTGATGATGGTACATGATGCTGCATGCGTGCAAATTATATGGAAAGGGAGAGATTGTCGGTAGATTCTGGACCCAACCAAATCCAATGATTTCTTCTTCTTTGGGTTGGAACATGTGAATGCATGGCAGACACCTGGTGTGGAGGAGAGAAGGGAGTTATTTTTTCAACATAATCCCACTTGCTTTTTGACTTTATCTTGATCAAGTAAGCGCTGGAGATCCGAAGAGCCAAAAAAGGTATCGATGAGTGAGAGATGATTGACTTATAAAATGATAAAATAAACCAGGATTTCAAGCTTACAATAAGCAGGTCCACCGCCACCTTCAGGAACGGTCCACGTGATGTCTTGAGTCGGAACCTTGATTGAACAAGTCTTGCACTAGAACCGTCCATGTCAAAAAAAAAAGGAAAAGCAGGAGTCAGAAAGATAATTCAGCTGATGAGAAGGGCAAGGAAGGTGGAACTAAACATGGATGCAATTCTGTGAGTTGATGAACAAGGTTTTTTTGAGCGATGCCGGGCGATGAAGAAGAAGTCTGAAATGTTTTAGCATCTTGTTCTACGCCCACATATTTGTAAACGCCCGCCGGACAGTCCTTGTTCAATAGGCCCACGAATTGGCCCACATTCGTCTCCACATGCTGCACCACTTTCTCCGGCTTGATCACCAGATGGTTCAGCTGGTTCTCCGCATGGTTTGTGCCCGTTTGTGAGACCGATGTTAGAATTTCAAATGACAGTTTGTGGTCTGGGGAAGGATCCTCAATTGGTTCATATTCCCTATGAAGCCATAGCCTTATCAATACAAATTCCCCCCTTTTTTTTGTAAGCTGATGAATACTTACTTTACGGATTTGGTGTGGAGGTGATCTTCCTTTTTGTGGTGGAATGTCTGAGGTACTCTGCCCTTCAAGAACATACTGTGGATGCCGGAATAGATGATGCCACTGTACAAGCCCAAGGGGTTGTGGAAGGAGGGACGCAAGTTGCGGACCTCCTTCAACTCTTTCATGATCCAAGAGTGGTCGAGTTTCTATTGATAATCAGTTAGTTCTATTGGCACCTTGGTGCTATTGGATGGATTGGTGACAAGGGCCTCGAAGGCAACTTCGGCAGCAATCATCCCGGTAGCCGCCTTCATTCAGCGCTCGTGCACCGTATGCCAAACATTCCCGCCCTCCAGGACTCTGGAAAAAAGAGGATGATGTTTCAATCTCAAGACCCGTGGCAGTGGATCATTAGTTAGAATGTTCTGTAAGGGCGCCAAAAATAAAAATCACACAAGGGGAGACTTAACTCACTTGGAATTACTGGTAAGGAGATAGATATGGGTTTGGATAGTCGAAGCCCACAACAAGGCCCAAAGAGACAAGGTTATCCTTGAGATGGTACATCCAACTTCCTCCATAAGTGTCCCAATTGAGTTTGTAATCAAGAACACTTTTCAGAGCAAAATTGAGATGAAATAAAATTGTCATATTTTATGAGTAATTTGAAGCCTTTTGAACAGGCTTTCTGTCTCTAAGGCTGAAATACTCCTGAAATTCCTCAGGATAGTTCCAGAATCAGGAATCTATTTTTCTAACAGCCATACATCATGATCAGCACTCAAATTTTTATACCTGCCAAGATACATTTTGAAATCCTTGTTGTCAACTCTTAAACTTTTCTCTCTGAGTATCTTAAGGATTACTTTTTTCTTAGTATTTGTGTCAACCACACAGGGTGGCTGTCTGATAAAAGTAGAAATTCTTGATTTTTCCATCCAGAAATACAGGAAAAAGACCACAGTGTAATTCCCTAAACTAGATTCTGTGGCTGTCACCTCTATTTCTGCCATTGAAAATGATTTGAAACTTTAAAAAGATCAATGATGAAAATCCATAACTGATGCTGGAGTCAGCTATATTAGTGTTCTTAATGGACATTGTGCAAAATTTGTGTAAAATTTGGAATAATCCTTAGGCCAATCTTATACCAGATGATAAAATATGAGTTATGATCTTCAATTCACCAACACACACCTGCAAAAGCACAGTAAAGTTCAATGGTTTTAATTTTTGGGGTTTTTTAGAGTGAAGGATTCAAATAAGGTGAAGTCCTGGGGTTTGGGATGGGAATTCATGGCCAGCCCAGACAACAGACCTTGGTACTATTGAATATGCCCCAATGCCCCAGCGTGATTTCTTTGTACCATGACTGAATGATATATACAAAACATGTCAAAGTCTTTCTCTATTCCAAATGATGAAATGAAGAAAAAAACATGCATGAGAAGTAAAATAAAAAGAAAAAAGAAAAAAACAATTATCCACAATCAAACTAGGAGTGGTTCCATACTACTAGGAGTTGTGCCATACTTTCTTACAAGTGAAATGGACAAATCCTCACCGCTTCATTCACCATCTCAAAATACCTGGGGTTTAGGGTGTGTGGTGAAGGTGTAATCCCTGTAGAAGGGAACTTGACCATTGAAAGCCATACTGATGTATCAGATGCTTCTGGTATTCTCAGCAAGAATGCGGACAGAAGCAATGAGAAATTCTCTGTTGCAATGTCCACTGAGACAGGTGCATTAGCAGGCATTAAAAGAAAGATGAATGCACCAGGAGACTGGTGCATTCATAATAAGAAAAGAAAGCAAATAAAAAAGTAATTACTTTCCACCA